GGGGAAAAAATAGAGCACCTTTGCAGGAGAGAAACCTGCAAAGCACTACAAGCCAACATCACAGTGACAGGTCATGTTGATGACATGTACCCTGGACACGGTATATAAGAACAGCACTTCCCTTCCATGGTCAGTGCTCCTCGGAACAGTCAAGGTCATCCAAAACACAAGGAAAGTTGAGACACTGTCACCGTCAAGAAGGGGTTTCAGAGACATTATGACTCAATGTAATGTGTTATCTGGATGAGATCCTGGAACAGAAAAGGGGCATTAGGTAAAAGTTCAGGAAATCCAACTAAACTATGGGCTTCAATGAATAATAATGTATCAATGTTGGTTTATAGAGGAAACTGGAGGTTGACTTATGGGAACTCTCTGGACTTATGGGGAGACCCGTGAAAACATCCAAACAAAAAGAAAAGAAAAAAAAGGGAGGTGAGGATTTAGTCCACTCTCCCTTACCCACAAGGCCTAAGGACAGAGCAGGGCCGGCTCCCCTGTAGCTGCGGCAGGACGCCCCCTGGAGAAGGGATTCAGTAACTGCAGGTTTTAAGTGTCTGCCCGCCCTGTGTGAAACTAACACTCATTCAGCCAACTCTCCCTCAGAACTTTTCTGTCCATCTACATCTATTCCATAATAAAAATTTATTTAAAAATTAAAAGAAAAAAGTTAATAAGCTATCCTTTCTGAAAAGGCTAATACTTATTTATACTAAAGTTGAGCCAATAAGGTAGCTTTTAATGATAGATGTTTATAAGGTTAATCCTAAAGACATATCTTTTTATACACGTTAACAAATTACCTATCTATATATCTATCTTTTTTTTTTTAACTTCTAATTTGAACCTGACCCCAAGTTCAGGCACTATGGATACAAAAGTGAGTAAGAAATTATCCCTGCTCTCAAGAAATGCAGATTTCCTTCACCTTGTGCTTGAATTTCTACAGCTCTGGTTGTCCAGGTAGGGTGAAAGTGATGCATGCTCTCCTTTGCAAGGCCAGGGTCACACAGTATTCTGAGCCTGACGTTTTGTGGACTTTTTGTTTTGCTTTTAAAATATTGGTTAGAATTCCAAAAGTTTTCAACCTGTGTGGCAAAAGAGCAGAAACCTCAGTGATGTCATGGCGTCACGTATGTCTTGGCCTTCAGCTCTCTGGTAGACATCCTGAATCACTACGGCTGTAGACAGTTTTCCACGGTTTCTAAAGAGACTTCTGTTAACCTAGTGTGATGCTTACATTTCTATCAGTGTTCTGTTTTTCTATGTCATTGTGACTCTCCAGATTCAGTGTAGCAAGCCAGGCCCATGCCTAGCACATTTGCACATCATGTAGTAGAAGGGTTTTAAAACCCTCTCCTGTGTCAGAACTCCTTAGGGGCCAGGGGAAAGGCTTAAATTTACTGGTCACTGGAGTCAGAATTTGTTTGAACAGTGCCTCTAGTTTTTCAGGAAGGGAAGGGAAGGGAAGGGAAGGAGGGAAGGGAAGGGAAGGGAA